TATGGTTGTTTTGGTCGCTAAAGCCCTAAAATCCTAATTAAGTAGTAGAGACTTGGCTGGACTCTCAGGGTGTTCTTCTTGGTGAAGAGCACGACACCCCGAACCCTAAACCCTAAACCCTAAACCCCAGTTTCGAAGTCGTGGCTTGGAGAAGTCCCAGAGTCTCGAGCCCGAAAGTCTCGGTCGGAGAGTTTGGAGTTCGAAATTTGTCGAAGGTTCCAGCTCCATAGGGCTTAGGGCATAGACCTGAGATTACGCGTGTGTAAGCAGCTTCGGCAACTCCAAGTTTCCAGGCCACTTCAAGGTTCACAAGCTCGAAAAGTTAAGCCTTCGAGCTCGAGCGGCGGTTTCTGAAACTCAATCTCGAGCTTTTGCTTAGGAGCCCAATAGGTGAACTTTAAACTCTTAGGGTATACTAAACCCTTACTAAAAGAACAGTTTAAACTTTTCTGGGCCAGGGTATTGGGCAACTAAGTTTGGGCCTCCGAGTTTGGAAAAGACTTCCAATGTTTGAAGAAGTTCGACGGAGCCGAGGTTGCGGGCTTGAGAGATCAAACCCTTTCGAACTCGAAAGTTCGAACGCGGCCGCGTTCGAGATCTTCAGAGATTGACTGTTCTGAGGTTGGATTTCGAAGTCCTGAGACAGTCGCGGCGTGGCCGGCGTTCGAAAGTTTCCAAACTTGATGGGCTTTTAGTTTGAGATGTTGTCAGTTTGACTCCCGTTCGAGTTCGTGAGTTTGAGAGCTTGCAACGACCCTGAGTGTGCGAGCTTCCCGAGCTGGAGCGTTTGGAGTACCCTAAACCCTAAGCCCTAAACAACAACCCAAGTTCGAGACGTTGAACTTCAAAGGCGCCCCGCGCGCACGCACGGAAACTTTTCCCTCGCTTGCAACTTCGCCCTCACTTGCCTTCCATTCTCACCTTCCCTTGGGGGGGCTTTAGGGTCCCTTACAAACCCCTTTAAGCAAAAAGGGTACCCTAAACCCTAAACCCTAAACCCTAAACCCTAAACCCTAGTGTTTTTTTTGTTCATGGGCCCTACAGTCTCTATATACTGGGCTTTGGAGTACTATACTTTCATGCTTTTTTGGTTTTGGGTTCCCATTATAGCTACTTATACCGAAAAAAGTATATGCTTTTTTTCTGGGTCTACTCCAGAGGTAGGTATAGAAGGTACTTTCAGGCGCAAGTATTCTTGTTTAGGTATACATGGAGTTATAGGGCTTCTTTCTCGATGCCGAAACACAAGGGACCATGGAGACCAAATGAACCCTAAGTTTGGGGTCATATACCCTATATTGCTACAATTTAGGGTTTAGGGTTTAGGGCTTATCAAAGTTGATTCTCAAAGTGCATGAACCATAAACCCCTTAATTCCCATCATAAGTAGATTATGAAAGTGTATGAACCATAAAACCGTTTTAGGGTTCATTTGGTCCCGGGGATCCGTACGGTTTAGGGGTTAGGGTTTAGGGTTTAGGGTTTAGGGTTTTGTAAATGTTTTCTCATTGGGCCGTTGTCGCGCAGTGGCACAACCAGCTGGAGGATCTCGATGCCCGGCACGCGGTCCTGATCCCTGAACCCCCTAAACCCTGAACCCCCTAAACCCCAAACCCAAAAAACAAACCTAATCCCGAAACCCTAATTTGCAAGCTTCACCCTCGCCGTCACCCCTTTCACCCCAAGTGCCCTCAGCTTCACCCTCATTTACACTTTCTTCTGCCCTCGCTCTCACTCTCACAAGCCTAGACCCTGAACCTTAAACCCTAAATACTAAACACTAAACCCTAACCGCCGCAAGGACGCGCCTACGCGCGACGACATCGACACGCTGGCAGGTCAGCGGCAAAGAAGCCCCGCTTTGACTGTTTTATATAATCAGGGCCCAGCACGCTCAAATCCCTCAATCTTCACACCCTAAACCCAAAACGCCCGAACTTCCTCAACCCTAAACCCTAAACCCTAAACCCTAAACCTTGAACCCTAAACCCCAATTAAAGCACCTTAGCGGCGCCAACCTTCTTCTTGTCAGCCGAGATTTTCCTAGCCATCGAAGGATTGGGTAGTAGAGGGTTAAATTGTTTGGCTAGGACCCGGAGTAGGCCCTTATATTTCCCTTTTTCAGGGTTAGGGTTCCCTTATAATCCCTAAACCCTAAGCCCTTGGCCCTAAACCCTAAACCCTAAACCCTAAAACCCTAAACCCTGCGCCGTTGTTTTCCTGCTGGCATCTCCTGGGTCGAGTTGGGTTTTCCCTCATTGGAGAGGTAAGGTTGTTCGATTGTTCCGGGTTTTTTCTCCGGGGAGACACACATGGTGCCTTAGAATGGTACCTGACCCTTCTGGTTCTGAGGTGTGGGGCCTTGGGTTCTATGGAGTTCGGGTTTAGGGTTTAGGGTTTAGGGTTTAGGGTTTAGGGTTTAGGGTTTAGGGTTTAGGGTTTAGGGTTTAGGGTTTAGGGTTTAGGGTTTAGGGTTTAGGGTGGGAGCGAGGCCCGGTCCTGAATCACGTCTCTGATTGAAAGCAACCCCAAAGCCCGAAACCCGAAGCCCTAAACCCCACTGAACCCTAAACCCCAAGCCCTAAACCTAAACCCTAGCCCTAAACCCTAAACCCTGAACCCTGAACCCTGAACCCTGAACCCTGAACCCTAAACCCTAAACCCTAAACCCTAGCCCTAAACCCTAAACCCTAAACAACCATGGTCCAAGGCCTGCTGGTCGCCAAGCCCGGTGCCGGTGCTCCTGGGCAGACTCCGAATCCCTAAGCCCTAAGCCCTCAACCCTCAACCCTCAACCCTAACCCTAAACCGCAAACCTTAGCCCTAAACCCTCAACCCTAAGCTCTAAACCCTAAACCCTAAACCTTGCGGTTTCTCTAGCATGATGGGGGGGGGGGGGGGGGGGGCGGCATGTTCTTTCGAGTCGACCTGGAGTTGGGATTATTTGGGCTCAGGGTTTTGGAGTCTTAGGCTTGGGGGCTTACCGGGTCAGGATTTGGGGTCAAGTAAAGGGATTTAGGATATAGGTTTCAGGGCCAGGGTTTAGGGTTTATGGCCAGGGTTTAGGGCTTAGGGTTTAGGGTGTAGGGTTTAGGGTTTAGGGTTTGGGGTTTGGGGTTTGGGGGTTTCAGACAGTAGAGTTTAGGGCTTCGTGTTACTGGGCTTTGAAGTACCCCCCTACAACCAGTGTTACTTACATGCTGTTAGGAAACCAGAAGGCAATGAGGTAAAGTGTGCGACTCTAGAGCCCAGCTAGGTAGCAAGACAAGGAGGAACCCCTGGTGTACGGAGAGTTTAGGATGTGTGTGTGTGTGTGTGCGTCCTAAACCCTAAGCCTTAAACCCTAAACCCTGAACCCTGAACCCTGAATCCTAAACTTTGCTTTCTGTTAGCCCAAGGTGAGGCCGCCTCCCTGAAGCCGACATGCTTCAATGTCGTTGCCGGCCTTCGACGCCGATGTCTCACAGTCACTAACAGCCCACGGGCTGCGCTTCGTGCGCTTCCAGAAGAAAATCCATGTTTCAGGTCGAGCAGGGTGCCGGCCAGGCAAATCAACAAGGAAGTGGGAATGAAAGCTCCCATTCCTCCTGCTTTGGGCCGGTCAAGAGGCTTGGGTCAATGCTGAGAATGGGCTGCAGCAAGAAATGAGGGCTCGGTGCCTCCTGAAGCCCTAACCCTAAACCCTATCCACCCCAATAGGGATTATACTAGGGGGTACTATAATCCCCACTAAGGACTGCTAGTATAAGGGGGAACATCCCAACCTGAAAGGCCCAAAACCCTGAGCCCTCAACCCCTTCAGACCTAATCCCAACACCCCCTCAAAATCTTCCCCATCCACCTCCTCTGTCCCCTAAACCCTAAACCCTAAGCCCTATAAACCCCACAAAACCCGAAAAGCGCTAACCCCCCCCCCCCCCCCGAAAGCCCTAAGCTTCCCGCCAAACCGTAACAAATTGGGCTTGCGGGATCCCTGCTTTGGGTGTGACCTGTTCGAGAAGCTGACTTCTGCAGACGACTTCGCTGAACCCTGGGGTTCAGGGCTGGCAGGACTTACTCTAACCCTAAAAAACAAACTCCTAAACCCTAAACCCAGGAAACCCCTCAACCCTAAACCCTAAACTCTAATTTCTAAACCCTAAACCCTAAACCCTAAACCCTAAGCCCTACCACACCTCACCTACTCCAACTTGCGCAGCCCAGGCTATCGAGTTCACCACCTTGGAGACGGCCATGGTGGCCGCCCGCCGAGCCAAGGAGTCGCGTAGCAGGCCGCGGCGGGCTTGGGTTTAGGGTTTAGGGTTTAGGGTTTAGGGTGTAGGGTGCAGGGTGTAGGGTGGCATGAGGAGGAATTAGGGATTAAGGATTAAAGGGATGTAAGGGGTTTAAGGAATTCAAGGGATTTTCTGGGCTTAGGGGTTTGGGTTCTTAAGGTGTGAAGTTTACGGCATTAAGGTTTGAGGGTCCCACGTTGCCGCCTTTCCAACTACCTACTAGCTGCCTCTAAGGCCCTGCACACAGCCGGCGATAAAAGGCTCCCCCATTGAGGGCGCAGACCTCACGGTTTAGGATTTAGGTTTAGGGTTTAGGGCTATTGCAATCATCCTGAGACGAGGGCGCTCTACAGCCTTGAAGCCCTGAACCTGAGTTGGGCCCCGAAGCCACACTGAAGGGCTTATGGGCTTTTGGTTTTCTGTTGTTAGGTGCAGGGTGTAGGGTGTCGGGTGTAGGGTTTAGGGTTTAGGGTTTAGGGTTTAGGGTGTCGGGTTTAGGGTTTAGGGTCTAGGGTTTAGGGTTTGTTGAGTTTGTTGGGTTTGCGGGCTTTGTGGGTACCGCAAAACCTCATGGAGACTCTATGACTTGAGCAGGCTCAGGTTGCAGGTGTGGGCGCTTCAGGGCGGTTGGCCTAATGGGGAGAACGTTGGAGCTATTAAAGCTATGACAGCGATGATAAAATAACAAGTACGCAAGGACCCAAGCTCCAGAACCACTGATGTTTCATGCATCAACTCCCTATGGACCCGCTACCCCAAACCCTCAGCTTAAACCGAAACTCTACCATTCCTAAACCGGGGGGGGGGGTATCTTCTTCGCACGCCTGACGACAGGGCCCGCAACTGCTTCCTCAAGGACCTGTCCAAGATGAGCCAAGCCGAATCCAGCGTTCACCCGGCACTCTTTGAGTGGGGGTTAAGTTGTTAGGGTTTAGGGTTTGGCGTTTAGGGTACTTGCAATGTAATTCCTCTTGCACATTTGATGCTTTCGTCGCTAGGGATTTGGGTCAGCAACTGCTCTATTTAAGCCTGGGGTACTTAAATCTTAAACCCTAACCCAAACATAATTCCCTTCTAAGAACTAGGAACTTCTTGGCCTGTTTGGGGGCCATAATAGAGAACCTCTCCCCCCTAAAAACCTAAAATCCTAAACCCTACACCCAGCTCCCCCCGTACAAAACACGACATGTGATGATTGTTTGATTCTAGACCTTACACCCCGAACGCTAAACCCTAAACCCTAAACCCTAAACCCCAAACCCCAAACCCTAAACCCTAAACCCTAAACCCTAAACCCTAAACCCTAAACCCTAAACCCTAAACCCTAAACCCTAAACCCTAAACCCTAAACCTAAACCCTACCCTTGCAGCTCATCCCTGGACCTCCTTCTATGGGGCCCTGAAGATGGTCCCTTACCTTCTTGAAAAGGGTTGTGAAGTATGGCCCTCGGGTTGTGTAGCCCCCCCCCGCCCCCCCCCTCTTAGTGGGGAATGAGGGAATGAGGTACCCTATAAAATCCCTTAAACAGTACATATAGGGCCCTCATTCCCTCATTCCCCACTGATTAAGAACCAGCCACCAGAATTTATAAGGGGTCCCCATTTAAGGGCCCACATACTTAGGTACCATGTGGCTACCCTAAGACTCCTGGTGAGGTCTATCCCGGTTGCTCCCTCGAGTATGAGGGAGAAATTCTTTTAAGCCCGCCCCGCTTTGGTCCAAGCTTGGGCTGTTGCGTTTGGATCCCTGCTACCTCCGGCTCCATAGCACAAGGGTTTAGGGTTTAGGGTTTAGTGTTTAGGGTTTATAGTATAGGGGGTTTCATACACCTTCACCTGCATATTCACTGCCAGAAAGAACGCAACGATCGACCATCAGATTGGCGACCGCCGGGGCCCGAAACGGCATCGAGGCTCGTGGTCCCTGGCCCCCGCGAAGCAGTTGACTTCCGGGAGCAGCTGGTCTGGGAGGTCATCCTCGGACAACAGTGGATCGATTTTGGCAAGTGCATCCGTCTTGGCAAGGGCCATTTTGGGCCAGACCGGCCGGTGTCCTGGCAAGGGCCATCCTGGGCCGGAGTGGGGCTCCATCCTGGGCCAGATTGGGCTGCAGACGAGGGCTGGCGCACCGAAAACACTCAACTTTGTTACTTGGTGGAAGTTTTCACCAGCCGCCTCCGATTTCTAGCCCAAAGTCTTCTAAACCTAAACCTTCTAACTAACCCTAAACCCAAAACCCTAAACAAAAGGCCTGCGCCACTCGAGCTCTGATGGATTTCTCTGCGTGTTCTACTAGTGCCCTGGAGTAGGTTTGACATAGGGTTTGGGGTTTCTGGCAAAAGATCTATGGGCCCTAAACGAAACATACTCCAATTAACCCACCTTTTTTTGTGACATAGGGCCCTGTGGGTAACTTTTGACGGAACGGGTTGAGGGTGGTAGCGGTTACCCCCAAATAGAAGGATCCCCTGCTACTCAGGACCCCAATAAGGCGCCCCTAATATCGGGTTTGACCCTACACCCTCAGCCCCAATCAAACCTCAAGCCCTAGGCCCTAGGCCCCAAACCCTATACCCCTAAACCCCAAGCCCTAAACCCGAGACCCTACTAAACCCCCACTCCCTCAAAACTAAGTGCCAGGCCTTCTTGTTCTTCGGGGACATGATTGCGAACATGGAGTCCGGCCCTCGGAGAGCTTAGGGTTTAGGGTTTAGGGTTTAGGGTTTAGCGTTTAGGGTTTAGGGTTTAGGGTTTAGGGCCAGGGTTCAGGGTTCAGGGTGTAGTTCGCGCATGTGGTTTAAGGTTTGTGTTTGGGTTTCGTGTTCGGAGTCTTCTGAAGTGCTACTCTGCGGTTCAGGGTTAACGGTCGGGGATGTCGAGTTCCTCTATGCGCGATCAGAACTTGTAAGGAGTTTCGGAAGGTTTGCGAGGTTCCTGCCCTGGAGAATGGAAGCAGCCCAATCTTACACCCCAAACCCTAGACCTAAGTTACCAACCCCTTAAACGCTAAACCCAAGCGGAGGGCCCCAAGCCTAGGGTTTCGGGTTTAGGGCCTGCATCAGGTACCGCTCGATCACGCCTGAGTCCTTCTACAGGCCTGGGGGTTTGACTTCGGGTTTAGGGCTTAGGGCTCAGGGCTCAGGGTTTAGGGTTTAGGGCTCACTGGGTTGTGCTTTGGATTTTGCCTTTTCCTATGGAGGCACCTCTTCATAAGCAATTTGCACCTCTTCATCCCTAAACCCTAGACCCCAAACCCTCGAATTTCATCCCTCAAACCCCCGAAGTACGGCTTCATCTCCTCCCCCCCATAGCAAAGACCCAGCTCGAGGACCCCAACCCTTGTACCTTTGTTGGGTCATCATGGAGAATCATTTTATATGTATGAATACTTAAGCCCAATGTCAATAAGGAACAAAAATTGTCATTTTTGAAGAGTAGCCCAGCAATGGTGCAGTTTGCAGTTTACTGTTCTCAGACAACCTGGCTTGTCGCCAGCTTTTCCTTTCCGTCTCCAAGAACAGTATTCGTTTGTCTCAAAGGGACGACGAGGGAACGCCCTGCAGCGGAATTGGAGTCGGCCACCACGATGATGGGCTTTTCAAAGGCTGACGAAACTGCACGAAGATTGAGAGGATCCCATTCATACCGATGATGCCTCGAACTGGGACCTGTCCACATCGCCGGATGGGCTTATGCTGGGAGGGATCATCAGCTTCCAGGCCGCAGCAGGCGGAGTAACCTGCGACAATGTGGCGGAGTTTGCGCATCGGCTAATGTTCGGGTACTTGTGTGCCCACGCAGCGTCACTTGGCCGTTTTCGGAGGAGCCCCAAACAGAAATAGGAATTGGGGGTCTAGGTAAGTCATTGCTTGCAGGTTCAGTGGCTGGCTGACGGGCTATAATTAGATTCATAAGCCAGGGCCAGTTACAAGTTCTAAAAAAGCAAGAAAAGTATCCGCAGAAAGTTTGGAAGAATGTGTATGTTTTTAGGGGGCTCTCAAGCAAAATAGTAATTACATAAGGGGAATGTACCAAGTGCTATGAATTGGAGACAGAAAGTGGTAAGGAACATGTCTAGGGCAGGTATGTCCACCCCGAAGCTCGAGTTCCCTAAACGCTGCGGCTTCGGAATCTTTCCCTGATAAGCATCCGAACCCCGAGCCCTGAACCTCAACTACCGAAAAAATTGCCCTTCCGGCACGACCGGGGCTAAAGTCGATACCCGAAACCCTATAGAAATCCTAAACCCTGCACCCTACAGCCTCCACCCTAAACCCCAAACGCTGGAAGACGGAGTCCTGCAGTGTTCAGGGCTCATGGGGTTCATTTTGGGGCGCTCAGGGTGTAACAGGGTAGGGGGGGGGGGGCTCAGGGTGTAGAGTTCAGAGAGGGTTAGAGAGGTTTAGGGTTTAGGGTTTTAGGGTTTTAGGGTTTTTGGGTTTTTGGGTTTAGGGTTTAGGGTTTGGGGGACTGCGCCAGGATGCTCGACATGGACGAGTCGGGCGCAGCACTCAGATTGAAGTGTGGACGAGTTGGCGGCGACATTGTCTTGGGGCGTTTAGGACTTAAGGTTCGGGTTTAGGGTTCAGGGTATAGGGTATAGGGTTTAGGGTTTAGGGTTTAAGGTTCTTCTCGGGTCTAGTGTTCAGGCTTTAGGCCTCATACAGCCTGATGGGCTTCGGATCATCTAGTCGGGAAACGTGCTACGCATGCTGCAGGGGATGTCGACCAGGACCAGCATTCCCGGACTCCATAGAACCTTAAGGTTTCGGGTTCTCTAAATTAGGTTCCCTTTCGGGGGGCCTTTTGACAATCCAGCCTGTGCCAGCAACCTCAGAACCACTTGGAGCGACACCAGCAGGACCAGCATCGCGAGGTTTTTGCTGACAAAGGTTGAAATGCATTCGAACCACCCGAATGCCAAGCTGGACAACATGAGATGAGGCGACGAGGGCCTAGCGTACCGCCGGCCTTGGCAGATGGACAGGCGATTTCTCCAACCACGTCCAGTGCAACGGGTTCTCCCTTCTGCCGATAAACTCCGCAGTGAGGTACTGGGAGACATGCAGAGAACTTAGATTGGAGAAGACTGGCCCAAGACCTAGGGTGCCCATGTGAGGGCTTCAACGCCACAGCAGGCCAGGCGAGTTCTACCGAACATTGAGCCCATCTAGGGTTTAGGGTTTAGGGTTTAGGGTTTAGGGTTTAGGGTTTAGGGTTTAGGGCACCACAAGCGAACATGGCTTAGACAACTAACCCACATGACGGTCGTTTCTTTCTTTGCTCACACGCTCGCGTGGTATCATGACACACCGAACCCTCAGTCCTAAGCCCCCAAACAGGAAGTGGTGGACGGGGGGTGCGCCATTTTTTGGTTTTTGCGGGGAGCCCTTAAGCCTTCAAACCGTAAATCCCTAAAGCCCAGAGCCCCTAAAATCCCAAAGTCTCCCCCAAGAAGAGAACCCAAACCCCTTAAACAAAAACACCCCAAGGCCCCTCTTATTAACCCTAGACCCCAAACCCTACAGGGGCTAGGGTTTGAAGTTCAGGGAGCACTCGGGCCCCTAAAGAAAGTCCCCCCTTGCAGGTTTCTCTTAACATACTCCCCATATGGCCCCGCCATTCCCTTAGAGTATCGTTAAACAGGCTCCCCAAATCTCAAGGGTACAACCTTCGGGGTCCGAGGTAGCTGGGGTTTGGAGTTTAGGGTTAAGGGCTTAAAGTTCAGGAAGCCAGGGTTGTTTGGGGAACTTGGGGTTAGACCAACCAACCCTAGACTGTAAACTGTGAACCCCTAAGCCTAAACCACCAATCCCCTGAAACCCTAAACCTCTCAACCCCTAAGCCCTGAAACCCTGAACCCCTCAAACCTAAACCACAACTCTAAACCCTAAACCCTAAACCCCAAGAAGCCTCTGGCGTCAGGTTTCGTTCCCGGAGTTGTCATCGTGCGACAGGCCATGCTCACGGCTCTCCGGGGTTTAGGGTTTAGGGTTTAGAGTTTAGAGTTTAGGGTTTCTGGGCTTTGGAGTACTATACTTTAATACTTTTTTTGGTTTCGGGTTCCCACTATAGCTACTTATACCTAAAAAGTATATACTTATTTTCTGGGTCTACTCCAGAGGTAGACTTCATGCTCCCCCGGTTTTTGGGTTTAAGGCTTTAGGGTTTAGGGTTTAGGGTTTAGGGTTTAGGGTTAGGGTTTTTGTGAGGGGGCTTTAGGGTTTGGGGGTTAGTGCTTCTTAGGGGTTTCGGGTTCGGGAAGAGCCCCTTGCAAGGGGGATCCTTTTCTAAACGTGGGGGAACTTTCCTGGCTTCCCTGTGGTTCCCAGCAGATTTCGAAAGCGATCTGGGCAAGGCAACCGTGAACCTACAGCAGCGTGAACTAGGGGCTGGTTGGGGTTTAGGGTTTACGCATCCCATTAGCAACCGCGGAGCCTAAAACCACAACCAATGCTATTCCCTGATCATCCCCATATTTTCACGAATAACACAAGCTGCCCAACATACTCATTCCAATCACCCCGAACCACCCCAAAGACAACACAGCCCTAAGGGTCCATGTACCTAATTATTATATACTTGGGCCTTAAAGTACCTCCTACACAGGGACTTTAGGGCCCAAGTATATGGGTAGTTCTCTAAATTAGGGTCCATTTTTGGGATCGTTTTTAAAGGGTGCCGCCTTACAATGCGTACCCAAAAAGGGACCCTAATTTCAGAGACTACCCATATAATAATGAGGTACATGGAATCCCTAAACCCTAAACCCTAAACCCTAAACCCTAAACCGCTTAGGGCAGGCTAGCCTTGCTTCATCTTGAGTTATAATGACCAGCCCCAAGCCTCTGGCCCTCTGAGGGTCCCCTTAAGGTTCAGGGTTTAGGGTTTAGGGTTTAGGGTTTAGGGTTTAGGGTTTAGGGAAGCTTCAAAACCCGAAACCCGAAACCCGAAACCCGAAACCCGAAACCCGAAACCCGAAAATCCCAAACCCTGGATCGCCCTAAACCCTAAACCCTACTACGTGCCCCCCCCAAACTGTCCATCGCAATTTTCCCACCCTTCGAAGGGTCAAGGTAGTAGGGTTCAGGGTTTGAATGTTTAGGGTTTGGGGTTTAGGGTTTAGGGTTAGGGTTTAGGGTTTAGGGTTCAGGGTTTCGGGTTTAGGGTTTAGGGTTTGGGGAGCTCCTTCGGCTTGGTGCTTCTGGTACTCGGCCCCTGCAGGCACGGATGCTGGAGCGCATGGGCCGGGGCGTGCATCTTGGGCCTGTTTTCAAGGATTTGGGGTTCAGGGTTTAAGGTTGAAGGCTTAGGCTTACGGTTTAGCGTTTAGGGGTTTGGGTTCAGGGTTTAGGGCTTAGGGTGTCAGGTTTAGGGTTTCGGGTTTAGGGTTTAGGGCTTAGGGTCTAGGGTTTGGGGCTTAGGGCTTAGGGTTTAGGGCTTCGAGTTTAGGGTTCAGGGTTTATCAAGGGACTAAATCTCGTGCCCCCAAGGTTGTACCCTTAATATACTCCTAACACTACCTGAAGGATCCCGAAAAAAAGGGTACAACCTCAAGGGTCCAAGGTACAACTACTAGATGTTTGGCAAAGGCTGCGGCGCCTGCAGCTTAGGCAATTAAGGTTTGAGGCTTGAGGTTTGAAGATTTTGATTAGGCTTTAGGGTTTAGGAGTTTCGGGTTCAGGATTCGGGGTTTAGGGCTTAGGGTATTTTGGATTTAGGATTTAGGTTTTAGGGTTTAGGGTTTAGGATGAGGGTTTAGGGTTTTAGGGCAGGGTTTTGGAGAGGCTTGCGTTTAAGGTTTGGTGCTTCGGTTTTGGGTTTTGGGCTTAGGGTTTTGGGTTGAGGGTTCAGGTTTTTGGGTCTCGCTCTGGCTGGGATTTCGTCTGATACTCGCGAAGAGGCAAGTACTGCCAGCTGTGGGTACACAGAGTGGCAGGCCATTCCTACACTCCAAACCCTAAACCCTAAACCCTAAACCCTAAACCCTAAACCCTAAACCCTAAACCCTAAACCCTAAACCCTAAAGCCAAAGTTTTCTGAGTAAGGCCATTGTTCCCTTGCTTTAGGGTTTAGGCCCCCTTTTTATTAACCCCTTAACCCACACAGGGCACTCTTTTGATTCCTGAGTTGCTCTTGGGTCTAGACCCTGAACCCCTTCCAACCATAGACCCCCCGAACCCAACAACCCTTCTTGGGGGAAGAGGCGTCTCCGGCCTTAAGGTTAACTGGCTTCCAAAGCCCTAACGCCCTAAACCCCTAAACTCTAAGGCCCTAAACCCTAAAACCCAAACACCTAAACTCCAAAACCCTAAACCCTAAACCCTAAACCCTAAACCCTAAACCCTAAACCCTAAACCCTAAACCCTAAACCCTAAACCCTAAACCCTAAACCCTAAACCCTAAACCCTAAACCCTAAACCCCAACCCCTATAAAGGCTTTAGCCCTTTGCCAGGACTCCTGGGATGATCGTGGAGAACCCCTTCAGCTTCATTGGGAAGGGCCCGGAGGATCCCGTGAGCCAGGAGGACGCCTTGGTAGGGTTTAGGGCTTAAGACTTAGGGCAGTTTAGGGTTTAGGGTTTGGGGTTTAGGGTTTAGGGCTAGGGATACAGGGACAGGGGGCCCACAGGGCGTCAAGTGCCCTGTCAGTGGTGGCTACCACACCGTCGGCTCAACTAGCCCAAGAGGTAGACCGTCATTTTTGTTTGGAAGAATGTGCCCGAAGCATCCTACTAAGCACCCTAAATTGCCAGGGGATTTAGGTTGAGGGTGTAGGGTTCAGGGTTTAGGGTTTAGGGTTTAGGGTTTGAGAAGCATCCTGCCAAACACCCCTAAGTTGCCAGGAAAGAAAGAAAGCTTACCGCGCAGGAGTTCATCGACCTCATCGAGGAGGTTCGCGAAGCCCGAAGGCGCGGGACCACTGGAGCTTAGGTGCTGGGTATAACTTTTTTGGGATAGTAGCCCTAAACCCTAAACCCTAAACCCTAAAGCCTAAACCCTAAACCCTAAACCCTAAACCCCTTTTTCAACCCTAAAGTTACATATTTTGCCTGGGGTTAGGTCAGCGAGTGAGTTCGGGTGTCCCAGTGGTACTCTTTACGGTCTTTTTTGGTTTCGGGTTCCCTTTTTGGGGGTTGAAATTCGAAGCTCTAAACCCTAAACCCTAAACCCTAAACTCCAAACTCCAAACCAAAAACCCTAAACCCAAAACCCCCATTCAACCCAACAGTCCACACTCTTCCCTAGGGGTTTGTTCAGGCTGTGAGCTTGGGTTTCTAGGCCTTGTTTCATTCTTTTAGGGTTGGGGTTCCCTTTTGATCCCATTAAAGCCAAGAAGGGTATCGTTTTTTCCCTAGGTGACCCCTGGGTCTAGGTTTAGGTTTTAGGGTTGAAGGGGTCCTCTTGGTCTCGGGCTGGGTTTGACAAGGCTTCGAAGTAATGAGGACCTTCGCACCCTAGACCCTCAGCCCTAAACCCTAATCCCTAAACCCCAAACCCTAAACCCTAAACCCTAAACCCTAAACCCTAAACCCTAAACCCTAAACCCTAAACCCAACCAAGCTGCACACGAGGCTCCGGGAAATGAATGCCGAGAACCGCCACCCACTGTTCATCTCTTCGAGCTTCGCCCCTCGGGCTCTTAGGGCTTTTAAGGGTTCTTTGGCACTTGAGGACTTGAGGTTTAGGGTTTAGGGTTTAGGGTTTAGGGTTTAGGGTTTAGGGTTTAGGGTTTAGGGTTTAGGGCCTTGAGGTTCTCTTTGGCGCTTCAGGGGGGCTTCGGGGTTTAGGGCTTCAGGCTTGAGGGTTTTGGTGTTAGGGCCAGGAGTTCGGGGGTTCCGGTTTGAGGCTGAGGCGCGTTTGGGACTGGTAGAATGTAGCGTTTGGGATTTAGGGTTGGTGTTGGGGTTCGAGGGTTTAGGGTTTAGGGTTTAGCGTTTGGGAGAAAAGGGGTTTGGGGTTAGGGTTTAAGGGTTTAGGGCTGTTATTGTTTGAGGATGCTGGTGGGTCATTGCGCTGGCTCATGGTTTTGGGGGTATCTTTTCTTTGTGCCGCTTTGTTTTAGATTTATAGGGTTCTTAAGGGAGGGAAGGGTTCTTCGGGGGGGTAGGTACCTAGGGAACTTTAGGGAAGCTTAAGGAGCCTTGGGGAGTAGTAGGGAGTATTAGGGAACCTTGGATTAGATAGCCCCTTTGAACCTCCCCCCCCCCCCCCCCCCCTCCCTTAAGAACCCTACAATAGAGGGATGGCTGACGATGGTTTAGAGCTTAAGTTCAAGGGGTTAAGACTCGCACCCCCCAAGGTTGCACCCCTAAAGGCTTCCCTTAGTATGCTCCTAACATAACTTTTATATTATGTTCAACCCTAAACCCTAAACCCTAAACCCTAAACCCTAAACCCTAAATCCCTAATCCCCTTCGAGGATCTTTAAAAGGGGTCCCCAAACCCAAGGGTGCAACCTTAGGGGGTCCAGGGGTGAAATCCATGTTTAGGGCTTAAGTAGAACCCCTAACCCCTAGCCCTAAACCCTAAACCCTAAACCCTAAACCCTAAACCCGAAACCGAAAGCTGAAGCCCGAAACCTTAAAAACCCTAAACCCCAAACCCTGAACCGAAACCCGAAGCCGGAAGCCCCGGAAGCCAACTGAAACAGGGTTTAGGGTTTAGGGTTTAGGGTTTAGGGTTTAGGGTTTAGGGTTTAGGGTTTAGGGTTTAGGGTTTAGGGCTTATACTACTTTTTTTGGTGAGTGTATATAAGGCTCCTTGTTAAAATTGAGTGTATATACCTGGTGTCCTTTTGGGGGTACAAGAAATGTATACCCTACTTCAACTGGTGTTTTTGACTGTTTGGGGTTCGGGGCTTAAGTTACACCACCTGCAAAAGAGTTGGTTTAGGGTTTAGGGTTTGGGGTTTAGGGTTTAGGGTTTAGGGTTTAGGGTTTAGGTTTTAGGGTTTAGGGTTTAGGGCCAACAACGGGCAAACCCTGCCATGTTTTCTATTCTCCAGCGAAGCCTGCAAGCAACCCTACATGCGCCTTAGCTCCTGACGGTTTAGGGTTTAGGGTTTAGGGTTCAGGGTCTAGGGTTTAGGGTTTAGGGTTTAGGGTGCCCCAAGCGCCCGCAGACAGGTGCAAACAGCAACGGCGCCCAAGAACGATTTCGGTCCGCGCGCCTTCGACGCTGGCCTTGAACAGGAACCCTAAACCCGAAACCCTAAACCCGAAACCCTAAACCCTAAACCCCTAAATGCTATGGGGCCCCAACGCCCCTTCCAGGGTTCCATTCCATGTCTTGGTCCTTAACTTGAGGCCCTTGTTAAAGAACCCATATATATATATATGTATTTATATTTTTGTATATATAACAATAATCAGAATCAGAATAGACATAGCAAGAACAAAAAATGACATAATACTCACAAAAGGCCAGTAAGGGCCCCTACTTCGGATCCCACTTAACAAGGGCTTAGGGTTTAGGGTTTTGGGTTTTGGGTTTAAGGTTAGGGGCCATGCTAAGGGCCCCCATGGTTTTTGACCTTCGGCCGTTCTAAATCCAAAGCGCTGAGCCCATTTAGCGCCCCAAGCGCTGCAAGCCCTAAGCCCGAAAACAAGCTTCAGAGCCCATATGCCTAGGGTTTTAGGGGTTTAGAGTTTGGGGTTTAGGGTTTAGGGTTTAGCGTTTAGGGTAGTGGCATGGTTTCTTACTATGGCTGGCCCCTTGGCGTTTTGAAGCGAAGTACGGCTTCCGAATTGTGGGCCCACATCCCATACTGCCCTTGCAAACTGCCCCAAGAATTATGCTCTAAACCCGAGATCCTATTCGACCCCAATGCCTAAAACCCTACAGAACCCCTCTCCCCTAAACCCTAAACCCGTGCCAAGAGCTTGACTGTATGAAACGCAGTTCAGCAGCCCTGAAGATTTTTCTGAGTTCTTTTAACACATTTTGGTTGGGGTTCAGGGTTTAGGGTTTAGGGTTTACCATAGAGGCGTGGGCAGCACAAGCGCTAGGGCTTTCAGGGTTTAGAGTTTCGGGTCTAAACCCTCAACCCTGAACCCTGAACCCTGAACCCTGAACCCTTGGGGGGTCTGAGGGCCCAGGCTCTCTTTTACAGTGACAAGTTCAAGATGTAGGGTTTGGGGGTTTAAGCCCTAAACCCTAAACCCTAAACCCTGAGAGTTTAGGGTAATGTTGCCTTGTGAATTTTGCAGGATCTTTGATGTGAGTTCATCAGACCATCATTGCTTCACCCCCTTCAGTGTCCCAAAATGCATTCGGGGATTACTTGGAGGTTCATGGGCTGTAAGAAATAGGGTTAGAAGCATCCGGAATAGGGCTATGCCTATAGTTACCCCACTTAGAACCCTACTTATGTACCCATGAACCTCCAAGTAGGGTTTAGGGGAGGGTAGGGGAGGGTAGGGGAACCTTTAACCCTAAACCCTAAACCCTAAACCCCAAACCCTAAACCCTCTTTTCACGGATGAAGAAGTGAGAGGTGGTTGACAGCCCTTTGCCCGCCTGAAGACCGCGAAAGGCAGGTTGCATTGACGTTGTCATAGCACAACCCACAACTTACTTAGCCAATACTTGAACTTCAAGCTTTTTGGGTTTCCTTACTTAGTAGCAACAGCAAGGTTTAGCCTTTTTTCCCTTGGATTTAGGAGAAGTAAGACAACCACAACCGCAACCTGCCGTGGAGGAGGACCAGGAAGAAGAAAAAATGCAAAACAAGTGATTTGTTTTGATATTTGTTTAGCAAAACAAGACGACCTCTTCTCATTCCATGGCATTGACCATGGCAAAGACAGGGACAACGACAGCATCATCAGCAGACATCTTTCTCACATGGAGCGATGCGAAACCCCCATGTTTTGGGATGCTCCCCCCCTGAAACTCGTAGTCCTTACTGGGGAGTATAGTACCCCCCGATTATATTCCCTATGAAGGACTGTTAGTTTTAAGGGGGAGCATCCCAACTCACGGTGGTGGCGCAGACCTAAACCCTAAACCCTAAACCCTAAACCCTAAACCCTAAACCCTAAACCCTAAACGGCGTTGCTCTTTGACATGGCTGGTGCTCTGCACAGCGTGGTGCGCAGTCATTGACTAGGCTCTGCGGTGGTGGCGCTGTTGGCCGGTGCCAAATGCCTGACAGAAAAAGATGGTAGGGGCACGAAGTCTGTGGCAAGCATGGGGTATTCGTTCCCTAAACCCCAAACCCAAACCCCAAACCCTAAACCCTAAACCCTGACCTTGGCCACTGGGCCGTTCCGGACGAAGGCCTTGCAGCCCGAGGGACAGCTGGGAAGACGTCGCGTCAGGCTGCGCAACATGAGGAAGATAGCCGTCCAGCCAGAAGATCTCAAGCCCCTCCCCCCAAGTCTGCAGAGTTTAGGGTTTTCTAGGGTTTATAGGGTTTACAGGGTTTGTAGGGTATATAGGGTTTGTAGGGTTTATAGGGTTTAAAGGGTTTATAGGGTTTCGAGTTTGTAGGGTGTAAGCTTCAGGATCTGTGCTCCCAGGTCAAAACGGTGATGAAGATGGGCTTGCTCCACTTGACCTACCATGGCAACTTGGTCCAGGCAAGCCGGGTTGATGCTAGGATGCCCAGTACTGCCCTTATTCCCTTTTTGGGAAGGTTTAGGGTCCCTTATAAACCCCTTTAAGGCAAAAAGGGCACCCTTTTTAATCCTAGGTTACTGGACAGCCGGGCTGATGGGTGTGGAAGGCAGACCCTAAAACCTAGAATTGCCTTTTAAAACCACTGGCAGAAGAGGATTACTCTTAGCAGAAGAGGGTTTTGAAAATGAGTTGTTGTTTTTCTCAACTCTTCTGCTAGTTGTGTTTTTTCAAAACAATCTTTTTACAAGCCTAAAAACCCCCATACTGCTTTAGAGTCTGTGGAGCACAACAGGGTTTAATGCTGAGCGAGCCTTTGGGATGTCATAGCATACAGCACCCTACGCCGCCATTGACGCCCAGTGTCCTTGCTACTCCCTCTTTGTAAGGCATGATTCGGGTTCCTAAGGCCTGGCCCGAGGGGTCCATGTACTGAAGTAAGGAATACTTGGGCCTGACAGTACCTCCTATAGGGTTTAGGGTTTAGGGTTTAGGGTTTAGGGTTTAGGGTTTAGGGTTTAGGGTTTAGGGTTTAGGGGTCAGGTATCTAATAAATGAAGTACATGGACCCTCAGGGCAAGATCTAAACCCTTAGCCCTGAACCTTCACCTTAATTGGCTAGGATGCCCAGTGGTGCCCTTATTCACTTTTTGATGGGTTAAGGTTCCCTTATAAACCCCTTTAAGCCAAAAAGGGCACCCGTCTTAATCCTAGGTTACTGGACAGCCGAGTTGGCCAAGAGAGGAACTGTAGTCTTTTTGGGCTTCCTTACTTGGCAGGAAGAATTCCTGGCTTATTGGAGAAAACAAGTCATGAACTCACCTGAAACTACTATCTGCTTGCGAACCCCCTAAATGTAAACATGTACTCTTCCTCATAAAGGTAATATAGGGATTGTTACTTGCGTTTTTTGGGAGGATTCTTAAGCAAATGGCAGAAAAGGGTGCCCTGTTTCTGTCCGAGGTTGCTGGAGCACCGGGGCCTAACAAACCCTAAACTTAAAACCCCGAGCTTTCCCCCAAGCTTGAGGGCTTAGGATTTTTGGACGTGTAGGGTTTAGGGTAAACCCTAAACCCTAAACCCTAAACCCTAAGCCCTAAGCCCTAAACCCTAAACCCTAAACCCTAAACCCTAAACCCTAAACCGTTTAGGGGTTGCAGGCCGCCCTGCCCTCCTTCGATAAGCTCCTGTGGCTCTTCGTCTACTTGCACTGGACCTTTAACAGCCCGGGGGCCCGGTGAGCCGAAGGCTTCCCTGGCAGCGGTTTCGGGTCCTCTTTTTTTTTGGGGGGGGGGGGGTTTAGGGTTTAGGGTTTAGGGTTTAGGGTTTAGGGTTTAGGGTTTAGGGTTTAGGGTTTAGGGTTTAGGTCTATACATAAGAAGTTATTCTATACTTTTTTCAGAAAGGAGGTAGTATTAGTAGGCATTAGTCCTAATTAGGTTTCCTATATCGATAGTTGACTTCTAATGCCTGAGAAGTCGTCATAGGAGATATAAGAGAAAATATGCGGTCAGAAGGCATGTGTGGAAGTGGCAATTTCAGATACTACGAGGTATACATATTATCGAAGAAACGCGAAGACCGATATTTGAAGTTATTGGAACTTCTCTGAATTTATTTTGTTTGCGAATTCCTGTTGTTGGATTTGTTCAGAAAACCAAATTTCAAGAACCGTTGGTCGGGGGGAAACCTCAATGAACGCGCAGGATTCAGGAGGCTGAAGAAGTCGGATAGATGCTTTCGTGCAGTCATTTGCCTTGCCGCAACAAAGAAGGCCAACTTGTTTTGCGTTCATGAACCTCGGTAACTCCCAAAGCAGAGACACGCAGAGCTCAAACTTGCGCGGTCGAGGCAACCGCACGACATTCGGCACAGACTCCTTTGGCACTAGTTGTCGCCGCTCAAGCTCTGAAGCGACCTTTGCCTGGCCCCTACCTGAGAAGGTCCTAGGTAGGATAAGGGGGACCCTTAAAAGGGAACCCCTTCTTTACCCTCTTCTGGCTCTCTTAAACAGAGACCTTATTCAGAGGGTCTATATCCCCAAGGGTCCCCCTAATCCTATCCCCTATAAGGTCAAGCACATGGGCTATTCCATGCTTTCTGTCCCTGCCAGCCCGCCTCTGCCTCCCTCTTGCCCTCTACTAAGGGGTTCAAGGGTTCAGGGTCCCTGCACTTCTCCCCCATCGTCCCTAAACCCTAAACCCTAAACCCTAAACCCTAAACCCTATACCCTAAACCCTAAACCCTAAAGCCTCTCCAACGCCCTTTTCCAGGCTCTCGGCAGAAAGTGTCGGAGCTCCTTCGCAGAAAGTCACGGCCTCAGGCACACCAAGAATTTGGTTTTAAGGATCTAAGGTTTAGGGTTTGGGGTTTAGGGTTTAGGGTTTTGGGGTTTAGGGCAGGGTCTGTACTAGTTCAGTGATCCTGACTATGATTGCAATCCTTAAATTGTTTATATAAGCCTCCCGAGAGGCTTCCTAGGAACCACCCTAAACCCTTTTTAAGCCCTAAGCCCTAAACCCTGCTGGGAAACCCACCTCCCTGAAGGACCTTAAATGCTCGCGGTTTTAGATTGACTAAACCCTAAACTCAGTTTAAACCCTGGAGACGAAGTAGTCAATAGCAAAGCTTCGCGACGCTTGTGCCTCATGAACCCTATGGTTTTCAGCAGCTCTGCTGAGTGCTCCTATGTGGCAGCGCGACACCAGTAGATTGACTTTGGAAGCTCAAGCCCCTGAACAGAATCCGCCAGAAGCCAAGAAATCCTGCAGGAGGGAGCCCTGTTCTGGGTCGTAGACCAGCCCTAAACCCTACACAGGTACATGGTCCAACCGCGTGCTGTGGCTTTCAGGGTTTTCTGGGTGATTCCCCGATATCATAATAGCCCAAAAAAAGATAATTAATAATCATAATAAGAATCACAATACAAAAAGTGTATTCACATAAACAGATAGATAGATAGATAGATAGATAAAAGTGAAGTGTATATTTAATGGCTACCGCCAGTGCCGCCGACCCCCTCCAAGGGGGGCCAAGGCACTGTGGGCTCCGGCCGCGGATTATGTATATATATATATATATATGGTCAGCCCCCCCCCCATGATCCACACCTATGGTTTTCCTGTCTTCGTCTTTGTCTGATTTTCTGTTTTTTTCACCGGAAAATGCAGTAAAAACTGCACTGGAATACAAAAAGCTCTATTATTATATTATCCTCTATAAAAACACTAGTGTTTTTATGTGCATTTTGCTTCTGAAACTTGTGTTATGCGGCTCTATAAAATTTTAGAAGGGTAGCCATTTAGAAGCTTAAGGCTTTTCAGGGTTGGTTTTAGGTTTTAGGGGTTTGTAAAAATTTAGATGATCTGTGGAAGGCACCGGGGCTTCCCCAGACCATTTGCAATATTAGAGATCCTTAAAAGGGGCAGCCCTTTTCAAATTTGAAGGGCTTTAAGGTATTTAAAGCCTTTCAAAATTTTCAAGATTTAAAGGATCTTAACAGGCTTTAAAGCCCTTAACAACCTCGAAACGTTTATCCCTTAAAAGCCTAAAATTCTTTAAAATTTAAAACGGGCAGCCGTTTAAAATTAAGGAAGTTACGGATTTTAGAATTGAACATCCTAAAATCTTTAAACTTTAAAAGGACAGCCATTTACAACTGTAAGAATTTCAGGGTTTTACGGATTTTAAAAATTTTATATTGTCTGGGGAAGGCACCGGGGCTTCTCCAGACCATTGGCAACTTCAACAATCTCTAAAATCCGCAAAGTGCAGCCACTTAAATACGTAAGCAATTTAAGGTCTTTAAAAGGCTTAAACGGCTTAAAACCTTCATAATCCTGAGAATGCTTAAACAGAAGCTTAACGATTTTATAAGATTTTAAGGATTTTTAATGTTTAGGTGGGTCTGGGGAAGCCCCAGTGCCTCCTTCCCCAGATCATGTAAACTTGCAAAAACCCTCAAACCCCTTAACCCTGAAATCCAACCCCGAAACCCTTAGCTCTAAACCCTAAACACTCAGCACCAGACCCTAAACACTAACCCAAAAACTTAACACTAAGCCCTTAGCACAAACCCCAAGCACTTAACATGAAACCCTAAACACTTAAGCACTAGACTCACTAGACCCTAAACACGAAACCCTAAGCACTCAAACACTACACCCTAAAAACAAAACCCTGAACATTACACACTAAACCCTACACACTAAACCCTGAACACTAGTAAACATCCTTAACACCCTAAATCCAAAAAACCAAACTGAAACCCTTCACACTAAACCCTAAACACTCAGCACTAGACCCTAAACACTGCCCCTAAAATCTTAACACTAGGCCCACAAACCCCAAACACTTGACACGAAACCCTAAACACTTAAGCACTACTAAACCCTAAACACTCAGCACCAGACCCTAAACACTAACCGTAAAAACTTAACACTAAGCCCTTAGCACAAACCCCAAACACTTAACAGGAAACCCTAAACACCTAAGCACCCCTAAAAACTAAACCCTAAACATTACACACTAAACCCTACACACTAAACCCTTAACCCAAAAAAAACCGAAACCCTTAGGACTGAACCCTAAACACCAGCGTAAACACTAACCCTAAAAGCTTAACACTACGCCCTTAGCACGAACCCCAAACACTGAACACGAAACCCTAAACACTTAAGCACTAAACCCTTACTAAACACTAAACCCTAAACACTTAAACACTACACCCTACAAACTAAACCCTAACCATTACACACTAAACCCTACACACTAAACCCTAAAGCCTAAACAGAATGATTTTTTAAGTTGTCAATGGTCTGGGGCAGCCCCGGTGCCTTCCCCAGATAATTTAAATTTGTAAAAATCCTTAAAACCCTTAACCTAAAACCCAAACCCGAAACCCTCAACACTAAACCCTAAACACTAACCCTAAAAACTTAACACTAAGCCCTTAGCACAAACCCCAAACACTTAGCACGAAACCCTAAACATTGAAGCACTTAACCCAAAAACTAAACCTTAAACATTTCAAACTAAACCCTAAACATTTGACACTAAACCCTAAACCCTAAACAGCAAACCCCAAGGCCAGAACCTCGAGCCCTACTAAATCTAAACCTGAAACCAAAAGCCCGTCGGGGTTTCAGATGCTTACTGTTTGGATTTCAGAGTTTAGGGTTTTATTTGGGTTTTAGCCGAGCCGCTTGACCCTCAACCCTAAAACCTAAACTTAACACTCAACCCTAAACACAAAACACTAAACCCTGAAACCTACACACTAAACCCTAAACACTAGATTTCTAGAAAAAATCTGGAGTACCCGGGCCCCGGACTCCAGACTCCAGATTTCCAGAAAAAATCTGGAGTACCGGGACCCCAGACTCCAGACTCCAGATTTCCAGAAAAAATCTGGAGTACCCGGGCCCCGGACTCCAGACTCCAGATTTCCAGAAAAAATCTGGAGTACCCGGGCCCCTGACTCCAGACTCCAGATTTCCAGAAAAAATCTGGAGTGCCCGGGCCCCGGACTCCAGATTTCCAGAAAAAATCTGGAGTACCCGGGCCCCGGACTCCAGACTCCAGATTTCCAGAAAAAATCTGGAGTACCTGGGCCCCGGACTCCAGACTCCAGATTTCCAGAAAAAATCTGGAGTACCCGGGCCCCGGACTCCAGACTCCAGATTTCCAGAAAAAATCTGGAGTACCGGGACCCCAGACTCCAGACTCCAGATTTCCAGAAAAAATCTGGAGTACTCGCGGCCCCAGACTCCAGATTACAGACTCCAGAATCTGGAGTCCAGAGTCCCGGTAATCCAGATTTTTTTTTGAAATCTGGAGTCTGGAGTCTGGAGGTACTCCAGATTTTTTCTGGAAATCTGGAGTCTGGAGTCTGGGGGTGCGGAAATCTGGAGTCTGGAGTCTGGGGGTACTCCAGATTTTTTCTAGAAATCTGGAGTCTGGAGTCCGGGGCTGGGTACTCCAGATTTTTTCTGGAAATCTGGAGTCTGGAGTCCCCCCCCCTCCCAAAACCCCCTTCCCGAGGCCAAATGTGTGGATCATGGGGAGGGTGCGTGAGGGGTAAGGGGTAGGGAGCTGGGTCCATGAGGGGTAGGTCAAGGGGATGGAGAGTGGGAGCATGAGCCAGAGTGGAGTAGGCGGAGCTGGAAGGGCGGAGGGCGGAGCGGGCGGAGCGGGCGGAGGGCCCGGGCATGCGCTGGGGCCCTTAAAGAAGGACCACGAG